AGGAGGTAGAGTTTGCAGTGAGCCAAGGTTGTGCCACTGTACTCCAGCCTGAACAACAGAGCAGACTCCATCTCAAAATAAATAAATAAGTGGCAGTAAATTCACAATAAATAAGACAGATGTACTAGTAAATTCTGCTATGAGGTATGCACACTACATGCACCGTGATAAATTTTTATTTGATATTGTATTTGGATTATTTAAACATATATGTTGTAAACCCTAGGGCAACCACTTAAAACTTTTGTGTTAAGTATAAATCACACACAGAAATAATAATGATAGAAAGTAAATTTAACTAGTATAATATGTTCAATTAAAATTAGAGAAAATAGAAAAAGAGGAGGTAAAAGAAAGAACAAATGTAATGATGATTGAAATTAATGTAAAACTCTCATGTATCCTGGGACAATTTTGAATTAATACAAATACATATATCAGAAAAATGTTTATTCTCAATAGATTGATTAAATAATAATTAAATAACTTTAGTATTAAATTGAAGCTGTTTAAATAAAAATGTTTTATAATGTTTAAAAATAAATTTTTTGCAAAATAATGACTATCCCTACAAATAAGGATGTTTATAAAATTAAAAAACAAATTTAACAAATTTCTTTAAACATTATTTAAGAAAAACATGATAAATACCTACAGGCATGAGTGAGTCAGATCTAGTTGTAGATGGATCTAAAAATTGTATTTTATTCAGTCCTATATGTAAACACCGTTAGGTATTCCAAGCCATTGTGGTATTTAGAGACGCACATCAGTTCAATGTTCACACATAACAAAATGCAACTTGCTGAAACAAATTATGACTTTGATGAAGCCACATTTTTTGCTAACACTTAATATTGCTTACTTTTGTTTTACTTTTGTTATGAAGTTTCTCCCTCTGTCATCCAGGCTAGAATGCAGTGGCATAAACATGGCTCACTGCTGCCGCTACCTCCTCAGCTCAAGTGATTCTCCTGTCTCAGCCCATGTAGCTGAAACCACAGGCTTGCACCACCATGTCCAGCTAATTATTTGATTTTTTTGTAATGATGGGATATCACTATGCTGTACAGGCTGGTCTCAAACTCTTGGGCTCAAACAATCCTCTCACTTCTGCATCACAAACTGCTAATACAGGAATGAGCCACCCTGCCTGGCTTATTGCTTATTTTTAACTTTTTTTTTCTCCTTAAAAGGATTTGTTGAACGCTATTCAGTGGAAGTCTCTGATAATTGTACAACCTGTAAGCCTGAGGGAGGTGGTAAATTCCTCATCCAACTTTGTCAAACAGACCTCTAAGGAAATTGATAGAGAAAATATTGAGCCTTTGCCATCATGCCTCAGAAAGAAATAATGGAGAAATCATGCTCACCTAGCATTTAGTTGGAGAGAAAAATATAGTATTAATATTGAAGTTTTTCTCAGAACAGGGATGGATGCTTTTCTTCAAGGCAAGAGGCAGCCGTGTTAAGTTAAAGGGAGCTAGGATGCATTAGAAGTAGGAAATACATGACGTCCCTCCAAATAATGAAGGGCATGTGGTTCTCCCCTTCCACATTTCAGCATGTCTGAATAATTTCTTACAGCTGTTCCTGCCTTATGAGCCATTAGGTTTAGAAAGCAATGAGAAAATAACAGAAAATAGCAAACTGCTGATTCATAAGCCACGTTTCTCAAAACTCAAGAATTTTTTTTTGAACATTCACTTGGTAACCTGTTTAAATCCTTGTCTGTCTTCCAAATGTGTGACAACAGAAAGCAAATGTGGTCTACCAGTCAACCTTATTTAACATTCTGTGGGGTCAAATACAAAAGTATTTGCTGATACAAAGTATTAATATGATTATTATCAATATATTGATATAGTATTTCTGTATTGACATATTGATATTACATCTCTTTAAAGATGGTAGAATGAAGCCTTGGTGATAAAAGATATGGGATTGGATCCCAATTCTGAAAAAGTTCATTCTATCATGTGTCTTATCATTCACTGCCTCATTTTATAGTAATGGAGTGAAAGGCAAACTCTTAAAATTATCTTGCTTTAAGAAGAACATTAGAAGATAAGTAACAAATTTACAAATAAAATATTTTTTAAAAAAATTAACACAGATCTAGTTTGTCTAGTTCTTTTCATCATCACATCAGGGTGTTGATTTTAGATCTTTCCTCGTTTCTCTTGTGGGCATTAAGTGCTATAAATTTCCTTCTACACACTGATTTAAATGTCCCAGATATTGTGGTACATTGTGTCTTCGTTCCCATTGGTTTCAAAGAATGTATTTATTTCTGTCTTCATTTCATTATTTATCCAGTACTCATTCAGGAGCAGGTTGTTCAGTTTCCATGTAGTTGTGCAATTTTCAGTGATTTTCTTAATTGTGAGCTCTCATTTGATTGCACTGTGGTCTGAGAGACTGTTTCACATTTGCTGAGGAGTGTTTTACTTCCAATTATGTCAATTTTAGAATAAGTGTGATGTGGTGCTGAGAAAAATGTATATTCTGTGGATTTGGGATGAAGAGTTCTGTAGATGTCCATTAGGTCCACATACATAGGCTCAAAATACAGGGATGGAAAAAGATTTACCAATCACATGAAGAAAAAAAAAAAAAAAAGCAACTGTTGTAATAATAGCCTCTGATAAAGCAGACTTTAAACAAACAAAACTTTTAGTTTAAATTCTGCTTTATCAGAGACTAGGATTACAACAAAAAAGAGACAAAGAAGGGCATTACATAATGGTAAAGAGATCAAAGCAACAAGAAGAGCTAACTATTCTAAATACATATGCACTCAATACAGGAACACCCAGATACATAAAGCAACTTATTAATGACCTACAAAAAGACTTATACTCCCACACAATAATAGTGGGAGACTTTAACACCTCACTGTCAATATTAGACAGATCAACGAGACAGAAAATTAACAAGGATATCCAGGACTTGAACTCAGATCTGGACCAAGTGGACCTAATAGACACTTACAGAACTCTCCACTCCAAATCCACAGAATATACATTCTTCTCAGTACCACATTGCACTCATTCTAAAATTGACCACATAATTGAAAGTAAATCACTCCTCAGCAAATGCAAAAGAACAGAAATCATAACCAACAATCTCTCAGACCACAGTGCAATCAAATTGGAACTCAGGATTAAGAAACTCACTCAAAACCACACAACTACATGGAGACTGAACAACCTGCTCCTGAATGCTATCTCCATCAAGCTACCATTGACTTTCTTCACAGAATTGGAAAAAAGCCACCTTAAACTTCATATGGAACCAAAAAAGAACTTACATAGTCAAGACAATCCTAAGCGGAAAAAAAAAAAAAAGCTGGAGACATCATGCTACCTGACTTCAAATTATACTACAAGGCTACAGTAATCAGAGCAGCATGATACTGGTACCAAAACAGAGATATAGACCAATGGAACAGAACAGATCTCCTCAAAAATCAAGCCACACATCTACGACCATCTGATCTTTGACGAACCTGACAAAAACAAGCAATGGAGAAAGGATTCCCTATTTAATAAATGGTGTTGGGAAAATTGGCTAGCCATATGAAGAGAGTTGAAACTGGATCTCTTCCTTACACCTTATACAAAAATTAACTCCAGACAGTTTAAGAATTTAATATAAGACCTAACACCACGAAAACCTAGGAAATATCATTCAGGACATAGGCATGGGCAAGGACTTCATGACTAAAACACCGAAAGCAATGGCAACAAATCCAAGACAGACAAATGGATCTAATTAAACTAAAGACTTTCGGCACAGCAGAAGAAACTGTCATTAGAGTGAATGAGCAACCAACAGAATGGGAAAACATTTTTGCAATCTACCCATCTGACAAAGGGCTAATATCCAGAATCTACAAAGAACTTAAACAAATTTACAAAAAAAAAAAAAAAAACCATCAAAAAATGGGCAAGGGATGTGAACAGAACTTCTCAAAAGAAGACATTTATGCAGCCAACAAACGTATAAAAAAAGCTCATACTCACTGGTCATTAGAGAAATGCAAATCAAAACCACATTGAGATACCATCTCACACCAGTTACAATGGCAATCATTAAAACGTCAGGAGACAACAGATGCTGGAAAGGATGTGGAGAAATAGGAACACTTCTACACTGTTCATGGGAGTGTAAATTAGTTCAACCATTGTGGAAGACAGTGTGGCAATTCCTCAACAAAGTAATTTACAGATTCAACGCTATCCCCATCAAACTACCAATGACCTGCTTCACAGAACTGGAAAAAAACACCTTAAACTTCATATAGGCCTGCATAGCCAAGTCAATTCTAAGCAAAAAGAACAAAGCAGGAGGCATCACACTACCAGACTTCAAACTATAGTACAAGGCTACGGTAATCAAAGCAGCATGATACTGGTACCAAAACAGAGATATAGACCAATGGAACAGAACAGAGGCCTCGGAAGCAACACAACATATCTATAACCATCTGATCTTTGATAAACCTGACAAAAACAAGCAATGGGGAAAGGATTCCCTGTTTAATAAATGGTGTTGGAAAAACTGACTAGCCATGTGCAGAAAGCAGAAGCTGGATTCCCTCCTGATACCTTACACTAAAATTAACTCCAGATGGATTAAAGACTTAAACATAAGACCTAACACCATAAAAACCCTAGAAGAAAATCTCAGCAAAACCATTCAGGACATAGGCGTAGACAAGGACTTCATGACCAAAACACCAAAAGCATTGGTAACAAAAGCCAAAATAGACAAATGGGACCTAATCAAACTCCACAGCTTCCGCACGGCAAAAGAAACAGTCATTAGCGTGAATCGGCAACCAACAGAATGGGAAAAAATTTTTGCAGTCTACCCATCTGACAAAGTGCTGATATCCAGAATCTACAAAGAACTAAAACAGATTTACAAGAAAAAAACAAACGAGCCCATTCAAAAGTGGACAAAGGATATGAACAGACACTTTACAAAAGGATATAGAAATAGAAATATCATTTGACCCAGCAATCCCATTACTGGTCATACACCCAGAGGATTTTAAATCATCCTGTTATAATGACACATGTACATATGTGGCACTGTTCACAATAGCAAAGACTTGGAACAAACCCAAATGTCCATCAATGATAGACTGATAAAGAAAATGTGGCACATATACACCATGGAATACTATGCAGCCATAAAAAAAGATGAGTTCATGTCCTTTGCAGGGACATGGATGAAGCTGGAAACCATCATTCTCAGCAAACTGACACAAGAACAGAAAACCAAACACCGCATGTTCTCACTCATAAGTGGGTGATGAACAATGAGAAGACATGGACACAGGGAGGGGAACATCACACAGTTGGGTCTGTTGGGGAGGCGGGGGGCTAGGGAAGGGATAGCTGGGGTAGGTGAACAGTGGAGGGATAGCATTAGGAGAAATACACAATGTAAATAATGATGGGGTGATGGATGCAGCAAACCACTATGGCACGTGTATACCTGTGTAACAAATCTGCACGTTCTGCACATGTACCCCAGAAATTAAAGTATAATTCTAAAAAATTAAAAAATTAACACAGATTAGTTTATTATTACTGGTTAAATTATTTGATATTAAAATGTGACTACAATTTTAAATCTAAATCAAATTACTGTATTAATTTGATATATGTTAACACCTACATAACTGTAACAGACATAATATTTTGAAAATATAAGCTACTAACCATAGTGCCTAAGAACCCTCTAGCTTTATAAAGAAGATTAACAACCAAGACATAGTACACAACCATCACGAGGTCACATATCTTGGCCTGGATTTTCTCATTTAGCTATCAGGATAACATGAGCGCTATATAGTCACTCTTCTAGCTCTATGAGCAGCTTTAGAAATAAAGGAGACAAAACTTTAGATAAAGTGTACGGTAGTCCTCTCTTATCCACAGTTTCATTTTCTGGATTTTCAGTTACCGGAGGTCAACCACAGTTAGAAAATACTGAATGGGAAGTTCCAAAAATAAGCAATGGATAAATTTTAAATTGTTCAGTGTTCTAAGTATTATGAGGAAATCTCAGTCAGCCCTGCTCAGAACATGAATTCTCTCTTTGTGCAGCATCTCCACTCTGCCTGCCCATTAGCCACTCAGTAGCCCTCTTGGTTGGTTATCAGATCCACTGTCCCAGAATCAAGTACGTGTGTTAAAGGAACCCATATTTTACTTAATAATGGCCCCAAAGCACAAGAATAATGATACTGGCAGTTGAGATGTGAAACTACAAAGCGGTTAAAGAGAAAGTATAAAGTGATTCCTTTAGGTGAAAAGGTGAAAGTTCTCCATTTAATAAGAAAAAATGTATACTGAGCTTGCTAAAATTTGCCCTAAGAACAAATCTTCTATCCATGAAATTGTGAAGGAGAAAAAAATTTGTGCTAGTTCTGCTGTTGCACCTCAAACTGCAAATGTTATGGTCATGGTGCATGTTACATGCTCAGTTAAAAAGGCTTCAATTTGTGGGTGAAAGACATGAACAGAAATGTATTCTGATAGAAGGCAGTCAGGTTCATTCTACCATCCCCAACACTGTCACTCACTACAGATTTTGGAACATATTTCAAGTGGATAAGGAAAGACCATTCTATTATTTTTTATTTCTGTTCCCTATTTTCCCAATAAGATGTTTACCATTTTTTATTTACTTTATCAATGAGACATTTTTAAATATACTATTCAGAGACAAGGTCTACCTATTGTCCAGGCTCGAATGCAGTAGCGCAATCACAGCTTACTTTAACCTGGAATTCCTGGGTTTAAGCAGAGGTAACATTTTAAGATTAATTTATGTGAGACAAATTAATTTGACATAAAGTATCCCCATTTTAGATTTTTAAAAATACAGACATGCATCACATAATGATGCCTCTGTCAAATATGTGCTGGATATACATTTATTTTGCTATAATTAGAGTTACCCTATACAGTTATAACATTTTTTAGTCTTAATACTGTATTTTTACTGAACTTTTTCTGTGTTTAGATATGTTTAGATACCGAATCTGAATGCTGTCAATTAAAACACCATGTCTTCCACTCACAAATCTAATGCCTTTTCCATTTTAATGTGCACTTATCATGCACTGTGGCTGTAACTTTTGCAGTTTGTTGTACAACAGCAGAACTTGCACACATTTTTTTCTTTTTTTTTTTCACACCATCATGGATAGATTTGTTCTTACAATAGGTTTTAGCAACATGGCATACATCTTTTTTTTTTTTTTTTTCTTGTTAAGTAAAGAACTTTCAGCTTGACATGACAGCACATGCTTGTAATCCTAGCACTTTGGGGGGCTGATGTGGGTGGATTGCCTGAGTCCAGGAGTTGGAGACCAGCCTGGGCAACATGGCAAAACCCCATCTCTACAGAAAATTAGCTGGGCCAGAAAGTGCACTACTGTAGTCCCAGATACCCCAGAGGCTGAGGCAGGACAATCATTTGAGCCTGGGAGATTGAGGCTGCAATGAGCTGTGAATGAACCACTACACTCCGGCCTGGGTGACAAAGCAAGACCCTGCCTCAGAAAAGGAAAGAAAAGAAACAAACAAAAAACAACTTTCCACTTTTTGCTTAGGGAGAACACTTTATAGCTTCTCTTTATTATGTCTTTTTTGCCAGCATCATGACTCTTGTGTTTGGGTTTCTAAATGGCTAACAGAAGGGAGCATCTGCAGTATGGAATCTCTGGAGAAAGGGATGATTCATGTCTCAGGACAGAGTTGGAAAACACTAGATTTCATCACTCTACTGAGCATGGTACACAATTTGTAAATTATGAGTTGTTTACTTCTGGAATTTTTTATTTAATGTTTTCAGAACACAGTTAACCACAGGTAACTGAAACAGTACAAAGTGAAATCATGGTTAAGGGAAACAACTGTAGAGCAAATGGCTGCTAATTCCCCACAACTATGAAAGGATTATCTCACAATTAAACTGTAGCAACAGAAAGTTTATGATTGCATACTTCTTGCGACAGTAAAAATTTGGAAGCAAACATAACCTCCACAATAGAGAAGTTGATTATACTTTGCCATGCAGTTATTGCCAAAGTATAGATAAAACTTCTTAAAGCTGCAAAATGTTTTCTATTGGTATCTATTGTTTAAATGATAATGTGTAGTGTGTGTACATTGTTTTTGTCTGGACATAGTCTGGGGAACAGTATCATGTGGGGCAAAGACCTGGATGGAGAAGAGCTTTTCATTTAAATACCCTTATAAATTTTCTACATTTTGAAATGAAAAGGAGTACCTAGACATAAATTGTGTTATTTTTCTATTTCTGCATACAAAATTACCACAGATTTGATGATGTCTTTAACAGCTTTTCACACACATAGAACAACCCAATCACTGTTTGACAGAATAAACAGAAGGTATATCTACACTAGAGAGCAAGAATTTGAGGCCATAGCAGATTTTTGCCAAGCACAAAATTCTGATCTTTTTGTTTCTCTTTCTCCCTGTCTCTCTTTCATTGATAAAATTTTTAAAAAGGCAAATGTGACTCTCCATGTCATATTTGCTAAAAATATATACAATGGATAAAAATGTATTTGTTAATGCTAAGTATTGTGTGTACATATCATGCACATGTATAAACACACTGAAGGTCTATATGGATAAATGAAAAGCTTTCATGGGATGATTCAGAGTGGGAACAGGACATGATGACTAGGCATAGTATTTGAATTATTTTTGTTGTTAAAAAATGATGATAAAGGCAGTCAGTGTTAATTGTATATTAAAATTAAAGAGAAAAAGCAAGTTAAAAAAGAAAATAATTCTAAATATCTCAATGACTCCATGGTTTATTTTAAAGCATTGGGCAAAGTATTTCAGCTTATTTTACTTGGGAAAATCATTAAGGAAGTTTAAAAGAAGAAAATTATTTCCATTATTAATAGCACACATTTCACTTTCTATGTCTCTATAAAAAAGTGGTAGAAAATGAAGCTGTGACATAAGTTTGTGCTGAAGTGCCAGTTAATGGAATAGACCACCTAATTTTTACACACAGCTATTAATGGGGTTTATCCTTATCCTGATGCTGCTACTCATATTTGGCAGACTGCCTTGAATAGAAACATGCTTTCACTGTGATTTTTTTTTTTTTTTTTTTTTTTTTTTTGCCAATCAGTTCCCCTAAAGCAAATGTGCTAATAGTACTATTCCCATTCTAGAGAAGAAAATCTTAACCACAAAAGATTAAGTTGTTCAGGAACATATAGATGGTAAGGAGCAGGGCAAACACACTCTACAGAGCCTGTGCTCTTCACAGCTAGGCTAGTTTGGCTCTCCTGCCCATGTGATGCATCCACATAATGATGGAACAGGGACGAGTTTGTGCTTCAGAAAGAGCCAGTGCTCCAGCAATGAAACAGTCAATAGAACTACATACCGTGACATGGATTTTTCTTACAAATACAATGCTGAATGAAAGAAGCTAGGCACAGGGTGTTTGCCATGTGATTCCAAGATTAGTACATGATGTAAAAGCAAGAGCATTAGCTCTGAGTGTGAAACAGGAAGGGGACATAATGGGACTTTCGAGGGTTTGATTTTTAGCTAGTTACACATCTGTGTGCATTCAATGGAAAGTCAAATATTTGTGAACTTTTCTATGTTTATGTTATACTTGAATTAAAAATATATTTAACAAAAGGGGAAAGTACATTTTCCTCCATCTGATCATAGAAAGCATGTTTTTTCTTTTGTTTTGTTTTTCTTTACTGGCTTTTAGAAAATCGAAGCTACCATTAATAGTCTCTGACACTGAGTACATGTATCATCATCTTTTGTATATCTATTTTTTATTCAATTCCACTTCGTCTAATTATACTTTTTGTCTTCCTTCTGTCTGTTTCTGTGAATAGAAATTGAAAAACCAAAATGTTCTGAAAGGATCAGTAGTCAGATATTATATATAAATATTGCCTATTAATAAGTAATTAGACAATCTTCATGAATAACTTTTTTCCTTTTTGAGTTTTCTTGACATAGATCCACGTATTCTGGTATAAGCAGAAACATAATCTGCTTATAATAATAAGCATAAACATAAACTGAAAAAACATAAATTAGGTTTTATATTTTCTTTATTTGACATCTCACATATCAATCTTAACAATGAATACTGAGAGACATGAAATAATTAGACCTTGTTTCTATGAATAGAACCTTGGATACAGGATCCCTATTCCAGGCATTTCTTTTAAATCTTATCCTTAAAATTCTCAAAACACTTTATCTGACCTCTTATTCATAGTATTGTTGAAATATTTTTATCCATTTGCCATGGGGCAATGAGTTCAAAGACTGGGTTATTTCTAAAAGATTATAGTGTCTGGAAATTACTTGATTTTCAATATATGCCTGGTGTCTACACTGCTACCCCTGCTCTCAAATGTAAAGTATCTTTGCATTACTGAGACGTCTCTGCAAAACCTTGGGACCCACATTCTTTAAGAATTCTGGTACGGCATCCCATTATAGTAATATATTATAGTGGCATCAGGCACTTTACAAATGAGAAAGTGGATGGATGGATGACGTTTCTGGTAAGACCACGTTATTTACAGTTCTATGACTTTCAGCCACCTTCTCTTCTATTTTCTTAGTATCATAGTCTATTATCAGTAGTGTTTGTAATATCACTAAGTATCTTCTGGAAATATTTCAAAACACTCACTACAACCTAATAGTATCAAAATAATGAAAGACCACAATAACAGGAATTCAAGTCTCAAAATTTATCATTTTTCCCAACAAGAAAGAGGACTTAAATGACCTGCTACATAGTTTATGCCATTCTCCCATTAGCTAAATTGCCAAAATATCGTATGCAATCTAGTGTTCAGTCTGACAAGAAAATGTAGATTATCAATTCGATAAGAAAATGTAGATTATCAATTGCTTCTAAAACAGAGCACTAGGGCTTCAACTAGATTAAGAAATGTTACTATTTGTCAAAAATTATAGAGAAACCATTATTTTACATTACAGACTTCAATGTTTTGAAAACCAATAGTGGACATTATCTTTTGACATTTATAGAAAATATGTAACTCTGTATAAATCTTTTTAAACACTCTATGCCAGATATAGATGACAGCACAGAATGCTTGGCTCTACTTGAAGTAAATACTCTAGGATATTTATGGCAACCTTACTATTTGAAAAAAAAGTTTCTGTTGTGGTGGAGGGGAGCAGGGACAGAATCAAATACTCTAGGGAATGGAAGATTTAAAAAATTAATTCTGATTTTTGTTCATTTCACTTAATGGGATGGGGGTAAGGTGACAAGAATTGGTATGCATTATTTTAGAGCTCTGTAGGGAAATTTGAATTTATATACTATTGAACAGTTTCTGTCACTGTAGATAGACATTACTTTAAATTATTTACTTCATAGTAGATAAATATGCAGACAACTTAACATTCGCTTTTGAACACTTACTAAAACTAGCACTAGTCAGTAATCTTTGTAAAACAGGTAACTATTAACTCTGTTTTTTCTTGTCTGAAGCTATCAATAAAAATTGTACCTATCTTATGTGGTTATTATGATATCTAATGAGTTAATACAGTGTTTGTAAAAATGCCAAACATGCTGCTCATAAATATTAAAACCTCATAAGTAAAACCTATTATTATGACTAGCTCAGGAACCACTGTTCTAGTTCAGTAAAATATATTTGTAGAGCATTCAAATTATAGACAGTGTAGATGAATGGCCATTGTATTTTCACAATAATGGCTCATGATCAGAAATCAAAAACAAAAATCAAAAAGGTGAATCTGGTTTCATATTTTGATAGACCTATTTTGTTGGAAAAATAAACACTTTCTTCACTTTCAGTCCTTAGAACCCACCTGGCCCTCCACTGGTACCGCTGTCTGAGGAAAAAATGGAGTGGAGTGGGTGTCGGGGGTTGATGTTTTCTTCAGCTTGGCCTTTATCACACTGAGTGACAAAGCCTGACCTTTCCTTTGCATGTTAGGTGTTTTCTTAACAAACCACCCAACGACTGGCAGCTCAGCTCTTTCCCGCTCAGCAGAACTCCTGACAAATATAATACTCCAGGAAATGGTGTTAGATGACTCAAGAAGTGGTACTAGGGATGATGAACGCTGATATTAAAGTACATCTAAAAGCTTGAACAATATGTTTCATTAAAGAAAATTAGAGAAAAGCATTACTTCTAAATGTGTGAGTTTAAATATGTATGTATTTATATAAATCTGTTTGTGTCCTTGAAAATTTTTTCAAGGTTTTTACATCTTCTTAGTTGGAAAAACAGATTACATATTTGAGGTTGATTTGTTTTTCATTTTAATGTGCTCTTCTGTTCTCCTGTGTGCAGAAGTAGTTAAATAATAAAAGAGTCACAAGGAAAACAACTAGGAAATGTTTTTATTTTATCTTTAAAAAGATAAGCAAGGACCTCAATTCTCATAATCTCTCTGATCAATAATTTATCACTTTTATTGTGAGAGGTGTCATCCAACAGGAAGGTGATCAAGAGAACATGGGTCCTAAATTTTCAAAAGCCAACTTTCTAGAGGGAAAGGAACCAAAACTCAGGCATATATGTAATTCGGTGCAATATACATATAAACAAGGCCTGGCACGGTTGCTTATGCCTGTAATCCCAGCACTTTGAGAGGCCGAGGCGGGTGGATCACAAGGTCAGGAGTTCGAGACAAGTCTGGCCAATATGTTGAAATCTCCTCTTTACTAAAAATTCAAAAATTATCTGGGGGTGGTGGTGTAAACCTGTAGTCCCAGCTACTCGGGAGGGTGAGGCAGAAGATCGCTTGAACCGTGGAAGTGAAGATTGCAGGGAGCCAAGATCAAGTCACTGCACTCCAGCCTGGGTGACAAAGCAAGACTCCGTCTCAAAAATAAAAATAAAAAAATAAAAATAAACAAGTGCTGTGGGAAAACAGATACAAGGACACTTAGATTGTGACAATTTGTGTCAGAAATTGCTTTTCAAAGGAACTAACATTAGACTGGGGCCATGAAAGGTGCATGGAAGTTCACCAGTAGTCAGGTAGGAAAATAAGCAAAGGAATTTCTGGTCGAAGGCAGAATACAAATCTGTAGAAATTCAGTGAACACACACACACATATAAATATAATCTTTCTTTTTGTCGACTTTCCTTTCTTTACATTTTTAAAATTTCTATCACCCATTCCTTCACGAAATGTCTAAACTTTACCAATTCAAACTTTGCTGTATTTAACTGATAAAAAGTGGTACTGTTGGAGTGCCATGGAACAGAGGAAGTGATATCACAGAAGGCATAACAGAGCAAACCAAAACAAGGCCTTGGATGTTAGAGTACGCATATTGGAATGGTATCGAATTTGTGTGTTGAGCAAGGATTACCTGGACTCTGTATGGAAAATATATTCCAAAAGAGGAAGAATGGAAGTAGGTGGTTCCTACTTCTACCTAGGAGAGGCTACCATAGTAGTTTACATCAAAAGTTAAAATGATGAGGTTTTGGAATAAAATGGTGGCAACAGTGATGGTAAAGTATTTTAATTTGTAATACGTATTGAAAATCAAGCCCATGGTACATGAAGATAGATTGGTTTTTCAGGTGTGAACAAAGGAGAGGAATTGAAATTGATTCCACATTTCTGAGGTGAACAACTGGAATATGTGTTTTTTTATTTCTCAAATGGAGAATGCCTGGGGAAGAGCAGAATCTAAGGCATTCTGAGAGAATGGAACTCTGAATTACAGAGGGAGAGTAACAAGAAAAGAATTTATAATTAGGCCTATCGTATAAGTAATCTATCACAACAAGCTGAGAAATTTTGGTGACATGAAGGATTTTTAATTACTGAAATGCTAAAATCAGAATAATGTTTTAGAATGCTATCTAAAATAGGGTCATGTTAGCAGAAAGACACAAGATGGGAAGATAGAGGATATGAAGTAAAACAATGCTAAGACTTGTCCTATGGTAGAGGCAGGCAATGGTGTAGAGAACAGAGATTTGTTTATTTAATTTTACTAAGAAATTGCTATATACAATCCCTGTGCTGTGCAGTACCAGGTTGAATGAGTTGACTGCAATATGGTTCTTCCACTCAAAAAAAAAAAAAAAAAAAAAAAAAACCAAAAAAAAAACCAGGCTTTTAAAATTCATTTGAAATCTTAAATAAATGATTATTATGTTTATGGTTTGTTAGTCTAGTGTCTTAATAACAGATATGGTGGTTTTTCATAAGTTGAAATTCCTTTTCAAAGCAAAATTTACCTATTATTCTGCACAATTGACAAGTAATAGTTAATAATAATATATATGATTACATATATGTGCACATATAATGATACTTTAGTAGGAAAAATCACTCATTCAAAATTAATACATCAAAAGGAAATGAATATCAGGCATCTCAGATTACTAAAGTATATCTAAATGAAGAATTGAAATAGGCCAGGCGTGGTGGCGTACACCTGTGGTCCCAGTTACTTGGGAGGCTGTGATGGGAGGATTGCTTTAGCACAGGAGGTCAAGGCTAAGGTGAGCTATAATTGAGCCACTGTTCTCTAACTTGGACAACAGAGTAAGGCCCACTCTTAAGAAAATAAAAAAAATAAAATAAGGAAAAAAAGAATTGAAATAAAGACAAGGATCCAGAAATCTTGAATTTCTTTTCAATGTCCAGAAATGTATAAAAAGTGAGAGTTAAATATATGAGCAGACAACATTGTCTGACAGCTTGGATGAGAAGGTAACACAAAGGGTTGTGTGAGAATCTTTGACTGATAAAAAAACAGTATCTAATATTCACTCTAGTTTTCTTAACACACTAATCTTGTTTTCATACCAGGTGCTTAATGAATATTAGGTAAACAAACCTGGTAGATCAAAACTATTTTCCTTTTCAAAGTGAGCTTTATACAACTTAATTCCATTTTTATATTAATATAATAGATCTAAAGTATTTGATTTATCTTTAATGCACACAATAGCTTAAAATTAGATTTTGCTGATTTTTTTATAAACAAAGTTACATGAATTTCAAAGTGGGATGGCATCAAATGTAGAAAAAAAAGTGACAACATGGACAATAATATAAATAGTTGATTTATTAGACTTCTTTGCCAATCATTATGCCAATTGTTTTACACAGATTCCTTTATTTAACCTCATATCTACTCTAGGAAATAAACACTGTTTTTATTCCCATTTTGCAGAAAAAGCTGATGGGAGTCTGAGTAACTATGAAATATGATACGAATGTTTAACAAAGCATTATTTTAGTTCTGTCACTTACCCTCCAGATAACTGCACAATAGGGTTTTCAACAATTCTGAGGATAGATTGTCTCCTGAGACATCTGTGAATCTAGGTCATAGAATGTGCAGAATCCCTGACACAAATTGGTAAGAAATCAATTATTTCACAATATACTTTAAAGAAGAAAGCTCTCACAAAAGTGCTAGAAAAGGAGGGAGGAAAAAAAAAATCTTGTCATTTCTTATGTTCTCGACTTTCTTAAGTTCATTGCCCTTGAGAAATACCATGCTATTTCATTCATTTGAAGCACAATATGCATTTGATGAAGTACTTAGACAAGTAGTTTTTCCTCAACATTCAAGCTTCTATCTTTCATTGGATTAAAATTAAAACTATGCTTGTTTTCTTTAACTTAGGGTGACTAGCCAGTCAAAATTTGAATAAAAAATGTATGCATATGATCACAAGTTGTAATTAAAGTCTCAGAAATGCCAATATTGGTTGGTTGTTTCGTTAGAAAAGTTACATAACTGTTCTTTAAAAGGATTTATTTCTGTTAAGAATTTCTTTTCTTTTTTTTATTTTTTATTTTTTTCCTTTTTTTGAGACAGAGTCTCCCTCTGTCACCCAGGTTGGAATACCGTGACACAGTCTCAGCTCTTCGCAAACTTTGCCTCCTGGGCTCAAGCAAATCTGGCACCTCAGCTTCCTAAGTAGCTGAGATTACAGGTGGCCACCACCAAGCCTGGCTAATTTTGATATTTTTAATGGAGACAGGGTTTCACCCTGTTGGCCAGGCTTGCCTCGATCTCTTGGCCTCAGCCTCCCAAAGGGCTGGGATTACAGGTGTGAGCCACCACGCTGGTCTTTGTTAATAATTTCAACATTTTTGAAAAGCTATACATTGTAAATTATGGTTTTGTTCTATTTTGAGGTTTTTGGCATGACCGTTTCTTTTCAATGTCCAAATTACTCATTCAGCAAATTGCATTTTGGAAACACAAAAACTGTCTCAGTGTCTGCATCATTTATAAATACCAAAGCCACAAAAAATGCACAATGTATTGATAAAAAATGCACAATGTCTTAGTATATTGTACAGTATGCCCCAGGCTTTTAGAAAAGCTATTGGTGCCAACATACTCCTTTAAATGCAAACAAGGTAAACGTGCATTTCAGATAGATAGTATTTTGTGGCCTTTGTAGCATGGAATTTACTCATAAAGACAATAGAGTCTCCATCAACTTCTCAACACTGAACAGTTCCACAAATATTAAATCTAAATATTTCAAAATATGGAATAACAATCATTACATTTCTAGATATTTTTACATAACTTTTCATTTCAAGGCAGAGGGTCAAGGAGTTTGAGACTTCAATTAATTAAAAAGTATTTTGATGTACGCTTGGCTACAGTCTCTTAGCAACAGTATAAAATGTAAATTAGATTAAGAAGGAAAAATAAGAAGATACATATACTTACAGATGACTATTGAAAGATATAGAAGGTATTATAGTATTCATAATTCCAATAGTCTAGAAATCAAACAGAAAGTACACAGTCTGACAAAGACATCATGGATGAGTCCATCATCCAGCAGGAAGGTGACATTGGATGATACTTTGACATAGTAATTGTATAAATGAAAATATATTTTAAGTTAATTTGGTGAGAATTCGAACAATTTTTCAGTTTACTTGAGCTTACACATAATGTCATTAAACCATGTTCTTTCTTATCTAAACGTATTGCCATATGCTGAGATCATTCCACTCTTTGCATAGTTAAGACTCTATTATGTACTGGCATAAAATCTTATATTTCTTCTTTATGTCATTTTTTACAACTGTATTTAATATTATTTGGAAATTTTTTAATTTTTTTTTCAGGCTAGGCTCTGTGTTCAATGTGAACAGCGCTTGTGTTGCTACTTGGTAACTGTGCCCTTGATGTCTGACATATAATAGATAATGCACAGTTACTATACAGTGTTCTAGGTAGAGGTAGGGGGAGTTAGAAGTAGCCAAAAGAAATTACAAATCAAATTGTCAAGTAGGTCACAACCTGAGTTTTACAGGAATACATGAAAACATGTTAAATATTAAAATGTGCTTCCATTTCCAGTTGTGATTTTACATAGGTAAGCTGGAGTTAGAGAGATGTGGTAACTTTTTAATAGTCTAGAGATGCAAGAAATATTTTGATTAGATATCTATAAGGATGTTAAATTTCAACTGCTATTCTAGTAAATCGTAATGATTGTCATGAGGACATTCTCCATTTATATTCATGAATATAAACATTTCAGAGCTATAGTTAACTCTGAGATTTGATTAAAACTCTAGATCCCCTCCAGCAGAAAACAAAACAAACATTTTATAAAAGCACAAAGGTTTATTTCTTATATTTCACTTCATGAACTCCTTGAATCTTTGTGATGGATTTCAACTTAAAACCGTTATTTTGCAGTGCAAGGAACTATTTTTATACTGTTTACAATTGTTGTAACTGTAGTATACAAGGCAAATAGTTTCATTTTTATTTTTCCTGATATTTAAGGGTCTGATTGAATTAAAGTGTTTCATTATTTACTTGATGACTATATCTTTTGATTCATTTAACCATATAGTGACCAAATTTCTCATCTCTTTGAACGATTTTTAGATGTCAATAATAATCTATGTAGACTGGATCAGAACTATATCATACAAATAGTACACTGGTGATTTGGGTAATCCCAAGTTAAACTGTAAGTATGTTCATAACTAAAGTGAGTTTTCAATGGGCCTTGTAGTTGCTTAAAGACAGCTCTTTAAATATGTGCCCTGGGTTTAATAACAGTGCACAGCAGGCCTTTCTTCCATGGAACATAAAGAGCTTCATATATGCTATCAAAGGTAGGAATGTGGACGTGTAAACAACTTTCCACTCGGTCGGGATGCCATCCAACTATGGAAAGATCATCTCTTCCATAATAAAATCTTCCGAGGGTGAGACTAAAAGAGGGCAGAGGGAGAAAAATTATTTCTTTATGAGGATATTTTCTTTATTCTTTGTTGTAATCTTCCAAATAAGAACAATAAAATAGATAACTTTTTATTAGGGAGATAATTGCTAAATGGCTCAAAAATAGATATACAAATGAAACTAGAGAAGTTCTTACACTAAATCAATGTAAAGGCTCTATTGTCCTAGCTTTTTTTTTTAGAAGGGAAGGATTACTGTAGGTTTTATAACACTATCTTTAAAGAACTACATTTACTATAAATACAAACAATTTTCCATGTCTTAGTTCCACATCTGTAACACTAAGGTAAGAAAAGATTCTTATTCACATTACTGTTGTTGTTGTTGTTGTTTTGTTTTTGTTTCTTTGCTTGTTTGTTTGTTTTGGAACAGGATCTTGCTCTGTCACCCAAGCTGGAGTATAGTGTCATGATCTTGGCTCACTGAAATCTCTGATTCCTGGGTCCAAGCCATTATCCTGCCTCAGTCTCCTAAGTAGCTGGGACTGCAGACATGCACCACCAGGCCTGGCTATTTTTTGAATTTTTAGCAAAGATACAGTTTTACCATGTTGGTCAGGCTGTTCTTGAGCTCCTAACCTCAAGTGATCTGCCTGCCTCGATCTTTCAAAGTACTGGGATTACAGGTGTGAGCTACCACGCCCAGCCAACATTATTTCTATGAGGAGTTAATGAGCCATAACCACTATTCCTGGAACATCACTATGTATTTCAGTATTAAATTCAATGAATTCAATGTGATTATTTTTAAAATGCAAGTATTGATGTTGCAATATGACACACTGCACGCATTAATACATGCAATGGCAGAAATTACTTAAATCATTTTGATAATTATGCATTTTCTTTGGAAGTGAGAGGGTAAATTATTTATAATTTGTGCCAATTATTTATAACATGATTTTTTAAAAAAGTCTAGTGTATTTCATGTCAATTTATATAACCGATTTTCAAAAAATGCTAATTTTATATAGTATCGATTTCAAAATGATTTGTCATTTATACATATAAAATGTAAAGAATTTTCAAATTTTGAGTTAGTACTGAAATGATATTGATGCAGTATATTTTCTTGACCGCTTTGTGAGATTCATGACAGGGGTGCCCCATGTACTTAGCCTGTTGTGCTTGACCCTTTGAGTGAGGGAGCACATGAGGGAATGAGTGTGGTAACTAGACAGTTGCTTCTGTGCCAGCAGGAGAAAACTCCATTTGCTCAGGCCAGCCACACCCTACCCCTCATGGGAAGGAGCGCGTAGGCAAGTGAATAAGGGAGCCAGCCAGCTGCTTTGGCACCAGCAGGAGCAAACTGCCTGCAGGCCCTGTGGCGGTATCCAGGTTGTGGTGCCTGCAATCCCAAGGCCCCAGAGGTTGTGTTACAATGCTTTCCTAGCTCTACCATCTGCGGACAGCAGTGTGCTATCAGCTCAGTGGGCCCCTTGACTTTGCGTGTGGCGGCTGCCCTCCCCCAGTGAGGGCAAAGGGCCAATGTGACAGCCTTTTTGGGTACTCACCCATGGTGGGTCCCAAATTGTCCAGTTCTCAAGAAGAATGAAGTCATGTGAACAAATTGAAGCATGGTGAATGTGGAGAATTGTATTGAGCCATGAAAGTGCTCTCATTGAAGAGGAGAGCTGAAAAGGGGACAGGAGAGACAGGCCACTCTCCTCTGAAGTCAAGTTGCCTCTCTCCCTTCCAAAGTCAAATTGCCCTTCTCCTACATCCAGCCCCTCATCTCTAAAGTCAAGTTGCCTCTACCAATACCCAGACACTTATCATCATCAGCTGAATCTGAGGTCTTTATAGGCTTGGGATGGTAGGGCAGGGCAGGTGGTAGGTAGTTTTGGAAAAGACAACATTCAATTGGTAAAAAGACATTATTCTGAAATAACCAACTAGGACAGAGTGGACAAACAAGAATAGAAGTTCTCACTTTGAGCTGCGTGTTTCAGGTCACTTTTGGCTTGAAGATGAGGCATCCCCAGGGACCTGCCTTGAAGGCCTAGAATTTCTCTGCCTCTTGCCTCTATCAATATCAAGCCTGATGTTTTCTCAATGGCAAATCTAGAACAAAGTTATTAATGTATTTACTTAGATTCTCAAAGATAAGTAGCTTTTAGTGGTATCATTTTGGAATTCAGAACCAAGAAAAAAAAATGTTCTACTCCTCTTTAAATGTCTAGAAAATGAGGTCTTTTCTATGAGAAAAATTTAACATTCTTTTTTTTTCCATCCTGACAACAGCATCTTACAAATCAGTGCCAAATGATGCACAAAAATCCCTAGGCATCTTAAAGAGGGAAAAATTATGTAGGTAAACAGATAAATCTTTAGAACATTTGTCTTTATGGGAGCAACTCCTGCTGTTGGTCTCTAACCTGTAGGACATTAGTCTTCTCTAAATTGCCGGTGGTGTCCCACAGCTCAATGATAAATAGAAATCGCAAGAAAAAAAAAATAGCACATTCTTCCACAGAAAATGTCCAGACAGACATGGGCTTTTAAGAAAAATGCATAAATAAAATAGATTATTTTCCACTGTGGCACATTTCACCCGATTGGTTCTTCCACCCAATTTTCTTTTTTTGAGTTGTAAAAAAAAAAAAAAAAGAAGAAATAACTTCAAGTAAGACATTAGGTAAAAGTGTACGCTAACATGATTGTTTATATTTAAATTGAACAAGAAGGAAGATTCCACGTCAGAGCGCATTCATCATATGTAATGAATGATTTATCACCAAAGGCTGCTTTTCATTTTCAAATTAATTTTAATAAAATGGTGTAACTGTGGGAAGTAATAAGCTTTAGTTGTTATCCAATTAACATATGTGGGGAAAAACTATTTACAACAACTTTCTTTTTATGAAATACTTTCAGATTTATTTTTGGTTGCATTGTGAAATCTTTAGTTAGAAATATTTCTCACGTTTTCTAAAAATTATCGACATGCTTGGATAGACACTTCAGCATATTTTACTCTCAGCTTTTGCCATACATACCAAAAAACATTACACAAGAAACAAATTTGAAATTCGGATAGCAGGGGGGTGGCATGAAGCGCAGAGGTGAGAAAAAAAAAAAACAGCTCTATAAATTGTCTTCACAAATTACAATAGTCACCACACATGAGATCCTAGTAAAGTGACAACTCTCATCAACTGTTCCCATTTTTCTCCTCAGGACATATGCAACGTGAGGTGGCATCCCTTTCGTCTTCTTCCCATGGCTTTTAAATGAGTCATTGCTTGCTTATTTCACACTCTGACGCATAGTTCCTGATTGACTTCATGTACCTGCTTATGAGCACTTGCTGTGACTGCCCTTTGGAGCCAGATGTTCCCTAAGTTACCATTTACTTTTTACAAATGAGTTGTAAATGGCAATAGTTAATCAAACTAAGGCATTTATTGTTGCTAACAACACATCACTGTTTACAAGTTAATACTATTGGTCTTTCTCTTGGAGAACATAGTTATATTTAAAAGCAGTAGCTCTATGATAGAGTGGGTGGAGATGTGAACACTTTTAGAAGTCTACTTTTATGCAAATTTGTATGTGGTTGTATTGTTTGTTTACATAGGTATGTTGAGGGAGACTGATTGAGAGAGAGAGAAACACGGAGAAATGGAGAGAAAATAAAGAGAAAATTAGAGCATCAATAAATATATGGCAGTGTCTAGTACCTAAAATCATATTTTATTAGTCTTCTCTAGCTAAACCAAAAAACACCCAGAACACTCCTGTAGCTTAACAAGTGGAATTCCTTGCTTCTTATGCAAAGGGATACCGTACAATATGGCAGAAAACGGTATGTCTCAGTAAAAGTGTTTTAGAAAAGACATCCTATATGATTTGTGCTTCTAGTGGGTGATTTTACTAATGATTTGAGAAAGTAAGGTTTTGCTCTAAATTGGATTTTGTCAGAAAGCAAAGAAAACAGTACAATTGGCTGTCTTAATTAATCTTATCTAGAAGGAAGGAAGACTAGAATAAAGGTAAAGCTACAAATGGTAAAGAAGCAGGAATCACTCATATTATCCAGCAAGGGGATAAACTTGGTTATATTTTGTGGTTTTAATGTTTTCTTTTCTGGGCTCACACATGACTACATTATCTTGATTTTGCCTTAATCCTTCATAGCCACAACGTGGCCTTATCTGATACTGATATTCTGGGCAATAGTTTATGTTCAACAGGAGAACACCAAGGCCTTACTGTGAGTGCTGTGACAGGTCAAAGCAAAACCAAGTCTTGGCTGATATGATCAGGACAACTCTTGAATGTAAGGGGCTCCTCTTCTCTTTCTTATAGTTAAGAAATATTTTCTGAGCACCTATCATGTGAAATAAGATGCATTAGGCTAAAAATTAAGACTACATAAAGACAGAAAAAAAATCAATGAAAATATTGATAAGCCGATGGAACTTACATTATCATTCTACCTTAAAATCAACAGTTCAAATTAATAAAGTGCTATTTTTAAATTTATGAAGGTGTATGATCTTAATGAACCCATTCCAATTTTGATTAAAGATTTAACATTTAACTTATTGAATACTCCTGAAATAGCAACCAACACTCTATCCACAAAAAGTATCAATTATGATTAATTTTCAAAATGTAAATTGTATATTAAAACATGTATTTATCCATATGACATTTGAAATTAAATTTAAAGTTACTTCTTTAATAATAAAAATGGCCAAATTTTTAAGATTTTTGTTACAAGCATCATCACAC